ATGCTGTAAGTCCCGCAGTGCAGTGCAACACGAAATTTGTAGCAACACCTGTGTCTGTTACATTATAGATGGCAACCACTAACCCAAATGTCTATGCAAGGGAAAAAAAGGCCAGAGGAGACGCTATTATCCAAGTGAAAACACTCTCAGCTCAAAGCATAAAAGCTAAGTTTATAATAGAAAATTCCAACTGTTCTAGCAGTAGCCGAGTGGAACATTCCCCTGTGGTTATAGCCTTGTGGTCTAGGGCTGGTATTGCTGTAGGGCTGAGGTCACCGAAGGACTCAAGTGTTCATCTGTTCACTTACCCATTTGTTTAATAATATATTGATGACTGCCTCTTACATAGCATTGAGGGATTGCATAGCATGCTTTCTTCCTCAATGAGCTTGCCCTGCCAATCCGCTTGTGAGCCTTCTGTTTCTTATTATTGAAGTGGACCCCAGCTACAATGATATGGCTTCTAAGAAAGACTCCATCCAACCAATGTTTGTTGAACACTGACTATGTGGAAATAATTAGACTCTGTTCTTTCTAAGTTCTATTCAGAATCTTGGCTATTTTTTTTTAGTCAATATCTGCCTATCCCTCCATACCTCCATATTTTCACATTTTCTTTTTTTTGCCAAATAGAGGAGGTTTTTTTGTTTGTTTGTTTTTGTTTTTTGCCATGGTTGGTTCATGCTAAGAGATATGTAGACATTTTCTATCTGAGGTTACCTTATCCATTGGCTCTGCTTTATCTCCTTCTTCCATGCCTAATTGGGTAATCATATGGAAATATTCCAAGAGACAACAAAATGGCATGGGAAGAAGCCACACATTGGAATTGTGTCACATTCTTAGTCCAAGGGCGTAAAGCTGGTTGCTGTATCCATGGAGTGTACTCTGAGTTTATGTAGCCTGTGTTCAGTCCTGGGCTGAGCCAGCTATTCACAAGCCAGATTTGTTGGTCTGATGCCATTAAGAAGTCAGAGTGAATGCTGATTATTTGCGTGTGTGAGTTTTCACTTCAGGAACCAAACCCAGTTAACCCAGAGGACAGAATTTCCAGGAAATTTAAAAAAGCAGTGCTGAAGTGAACATAATGAAACCACCATTTCTGGCCTTCTTCTCTATTTGAAACCTTAAAAGACTACAAAATGGGGTTGTATTGCTAGCTAGCACCTGCCCTGTTACGTACTCTGAAAAGTAAAGCTTTCGCAGGCTGAGGATTTTTCCAAATGAGACAGAATCCAGTTTTCTTAAAGGGCTGTGGGTCTACTCTCCTAGAATATTTCTGGGCAGTCAGTTGGTAGCTGTCTTCATTGGGAATTACAGAAACTAGATGGTGATCACAAGACTATTTAGTGATGAGGCTCCAGGGGTGAATTACTAGGACAACAGAGTTTGATCTATCCAAGCAGTGAGCCCCCAAGGTTAACATTGAAGAGTAGCTAAAGATGAGCAGTTCTGGTATTTATTCATGAGAAGTTCGTCCCGGAAGATGATCTATTGCTGTGAAGCAGATACAACTAGAAAGAGGAGTTACTGACAGAATATGATAAATAACACAGCTAGATTATACACGAGAAGAGGCTTAAATCTTTCGAAAGCTAATGAATAGATGACAATGATAGCTCAGTCAATGCTGATAAATAATGACAAGTTGCTGGATAGTGGAATATGGGACTAATTTGTGCACTATTCAGCATACGAAATTTAAAAAAAGTCAAGGAGTCAAGTATGTGTAACATTAAATATGAATGATTGGAATGAAGATGGGGTGAGATGAAAGTCAGATCTATATGTACCATTAAATATGAGCTGGCAGTACCTAAAGGCATTTTTTTCAATCTCATGGAGGATCAAAGGATACCCACCTCTGAAAGGAAATGTGTGTATATTTTTTAAAAGTGCAAAAGAGTCAGTGTAAATAATAATAAAAAAAAACACTTAAAAAAAAAAGGACAGCATACTCAGAAAGAATTGCTAATGCAACTTTTGATTTTGAACATTGGGAACAGTGTGAGCAGTATTGATGGTTGGCTCTGAGAATGAAAGGAAAAGAACCGAAGAACAAAGAGCAGCCCGAGTTGGCAACGGATGAGCATGGATGGCAGATAATGAGAAGAGGAGTTCAGCCAGACACACAGGGCCTTAGATCTCTGCAAGGATAGCAGATGAGAAAGCACAGTCAGGGCAGAGAATGTGGAATCATGACATCTTTGATGAATCTTCTTCACATCAGTCTAGGTATGCCCTAAAGCAGAGCAAAAGAAATAAAAAGCACTGTCCAAAGGCCCATATTTGAGCTCTACTAATGCTGACGTGACAGAAGACAAAACACCAACATCCATATGCAGAATTTTTTAAGACACCGATGAGAGAGATGTCACTGAACCTTTTCTGTGTTTATTAAATCGCGTAGAATAAAGTGTTTCTGTTCCAGGCTAAGATGTATGTCTGGCTAGTTAAAAAATGCAAACTAATTTGTATTAACCCAGGAAAAATTTGTTGTCTGCAACTAAATGACGTGGTTGGAATGGGTCTTCCTATTTAGTCAAATAAGCATTATTGCCCATGTATGGTTACCCTCACCTCTCTCCAGATGTGTAATTGCTGTTACCTATAGACATATTTTGATGAATTTTGTCTTCAGGGGTGATCAGAGGACACCCTTAGGGACCAAAATGTTTAAATATGGGGGGATGTGACTCTTGTATTTATGATGCTGTTACTGCTGCTGCTTAATAAGTAAACTTTTAGTTAAGCAATTGTTTCTGTTCCTTGGTTTATAATTAGCTAAAATATCAGTTTGGAGAAGTTTCACAATGGAAATAGAATAGTTAGAAGTAATGACTGTTTCTACATACAAAATTCTAAAGCATCCAGCTGGAAAGTGACTGATTTAATCATTCTGCCTCCTTTCTTTCTCCTTTGTCATTTTCCACCTTCTGAGAAAGGACTTCAGAGTTCAGAATGCTGCCTTCCATGCCCTGATAATCTTCAGTCAGCAGTAGCTCCCTTTTCTCACAGACAGAGATCTAGAATGGTGGGTAGGTGCAAGAGATTCCTGGTCAGAGAATGCTTGTGCCTAGTTCACTACTCGTAATAAACCTTAACCACTTGGCCTCATTAAACAAAACAAAACAAAAAACAGCACAACAAAACAATCAAATAAGCTATCTGTAGCAAGGGAAGCTTTTTCTTTCTTTCTTTCTTTTTTAAAAGATTTTATTGGGGAATTGGAGGAGAGGAACAACATTGGGGAATCGGGGGAGGGGAACAGACAAGTTGCTGTCCTTTTGTTCTTCAGTCTAGTTGTGGAGGACGTCGCTTCACTGGCCCATGTTGGTATTATCATTGCACTCTTCCCGGGTGAGGCAGTCGCTCGCCAACCATTGGATGGCCGCTCACTGCTGCTCATGGGGGCTCACAGGTGCTCATGGGGACTCACGGAGTCTTACAAAAGCTCACGCCTGCTGCCAGCCAGTCCCAGTGCTGGCCAGCCCCACTACAGCCTATGCTGTCACCAACGACTCATGGCAGCCCAGCTCCAGGTCAAGCTGTTGTTCACCATCTTAGCTGTAGAGGGTGCAGCATCACTGGCCCCCATGTGGGATCCAAACCGGGGCCCTGCTGCTCTGAGCTGGTGTCCCAAGCCAACTCTTAACCAATGTGCCACTTGGCTGGCCCGGGAAGCTTTTTCTTTGAAAAAGTGTGTTGTTTTGCATTTCCGAGGTTTGCTTCTCCTGACCTTCTGGAAGAAGCTGGAAGGCTAGATTCTTAGGAATGACAAGACCACACAGGGTCATCTAGTTTTTCTGAGAGAACATATTAAAACCATATTTCAGAAACTTAAATTGTCTGCTCATGTATTTTTTTATTATTCAGTTATTGATTCTTCAAGGTCCTGGAGCTCTAGTGTTGAGAAAAAAATAGATGTGACCCATGCCCTCGTAGAGCTGATTCTAGTTTAGGATGTAACTAGTCACACATATGAGGTCATACACCATAATAACGAGGGTGCTCTGAACAGGGTGCCAAGCTCTGTAAGCACATATAACAAAGAAACTAAATCTAGACTTGTGGATTAAGCAAGCCTTGATTTGAGAGCTGAAGGATGAATAGAAATCAATTAGATGAGGTGGGATGAGGGAGTGTCCAGATAGGCAGAATCTCAAGAGCACCACCTTATGAAGGCAGCAAGATTTTCTTAAACTTCTCCAGATACAGTACTTAATGGCTAGGCTCTGGGGCTCCCTGCTGCATGAAATCTTGGTTTCATTATTTATTAAGTGAACATAGGTAGTTACCTTCTCTGAGCCTCAATTCCTGAGGGAAGATAAAAATAGTAAGGGATAAATGATAATACCAAGATCATAAGGTTGTTTTGAATTAAATGAGCTAATGATGTAAGCCATTTGGAACAGTGCACAGCATGTTCTAACTAATTATTAGTTATTTTTATTAGGTGTCAGCATTCTAAATTCTTACAATTTTTAGAGTCAGGGAAAATTTTTTTCTTATAGTTTTAAACTTTATTGAAGTAATCCATACACATGGTTTAAAGACTTAGATTTCTACAGGCTTGTAATGAGAAGCAGCTGACCCCAGCATCTTCACATCCCAGCATTTTGCATTTCTGGGAAGCCATAGTTTTTACCTCCATGCCTCTAAATAACATGCTTATTTTACTACTTTTTAAATTTGTTTCTGTTTTGTTCATTAATTTTCTAGATTCTACATGTATGAAATCATATAGTATTTGTATTTCTCTGTCTGACTTATTTCACTTAGCATACTACCCTCTAGGTTCATCCTTGTTGTCACAAATGGTAAGATTTCATTTTTTTTTTTTGCATTTACAGTATTTATTGAAAAAAAATCCAAGTTTAAGTGGACCTGCACAGTTTAAATCCTTGTTGTTCAGGGTCAACTGTAATTGTGGGACAGAGCATGAGCGAACAGAAGTAATAATGAGAGAAGGGACCGGGAGTCCAGCCCACGCCAACCCCTTATTTGTTCTTGGCTGTCAGGGGTTTCCGGCTGATCTTTTTCGATTTGTCATTATTTTTCTTCGGCGGTTCGGGGTTTGCCTGCATGTGTCTGCC